TTTTGTGGAGCGATGGCAGCCGGATACTAACTCGTTTTACATGCCTTTTGGTGAGATGAGCATCATGCTGCACGACGTCCGGCCATTTTGGGCGTTCCAGTGGAGGGAGTCGTGGTCGCTGAGGACCCGGATTCGGACGCCTGCCATGGGCTCTGCATGTCGATACTTTCGGTCACCAAGGGCGAACTCATGAGTTCGTTCTGGCAGCGTGGTTCGGTGTCCGAAGCCGCCATTTCGGGGGCATTCAAGGGGAAACGCAGGCCGGCTAGGGATGAGGCGGGTGTCTGGCTGTGGGTGATGCTGGCTACCACTTTGTTCGTCGACAAGAGTGGTAGTAGAGTGACCCCCAAGCTCCTGCACGAGGTGCTCGACGGCTTGGATTTGATTGGGGGTTACTCATGGGGATCGGCTACGCTGGCATACATGTAAAGACAACTAGGTATTGCCAGCCGATGGGACTCTGCCTAGATGTCGGGCTGCTTGACTCTTCTACAGTCTTGGATATATGAGTATTTCCCCGATTTCCGACCCCGGGGGCGTCTACCCATCGGTCCTGACTGTCTCGCGCGATCACGCTTGTGAAGCGTAGGGAATGCGCCACGGTCAGACGATCGGCTCACAGCCATCCGTCGACGCCTCGACAGACTCACTGCCTAGTTACCCGTTATTTAAAATAATATAATTATTTTTATAAATGCTCTTATGCAATTGTGAACAGGTGCAATGGTTGCCATACGGCAGCTCCAGTCCAGATGCGATAGAGCCGAGGACTCTTTATAGCGGATTGATTCGATACCGCGATGTCGTCGAGCCGTACTTGCCTGCGCGGTGTCTGCGTCAGCTGGGGTATGTCCAGACTGTCCCTCCCCCTATATACCCGACAATCAGTGCAGTACGTGCTTGGGAGTCTAGGAACTACAAGGTTGAGCATTCTGAGGCTGGTGCAGTAGGTGCCTGGACCCAGTTCCCGATGTCTGGGACGGTCAACACCGGTATGTTGACCCACACCACACAGGATCGCGGGGAGGCGACTGAGAATTACCAGCAGTGGTACAGTCGGGTTTCCCATTCGATTCTCATGGGCGAGGAGCTGCCGGACGAGAACGAGGTCCCAACGCGTGTCAATATCGCCTATGTAAGTTGGTTACTAAATTTTAATTAATGTTAATTCATTACAATATTTTTTTTTTTTAATAAATTTTAGTCTTATGTTTTTATTCTTCCATTTTTTCAGTGGGTGGACCGTCTTTTGGGCATTACATCGATTTGCCAGCACGGATGCGAATGTCCGGTGCGGCGGAAGTCGAAGAAAAGCTCGCTAAGTTTAAGTTGAATTACGACAATGCCCAATAATAATGTAATGAATGCTTTTTTTTAATTATTATTGTAAAACATTAAGTTGAATGATTTTTTTTATTTTTTTTTTGCTAAGTTGAATGATTTTTTTTTTTTTTTTTGCTAAACTTAAGTTGAACTGATTCATTTATTTATTTTTATTTGCTAAACTTAACTTGAATGAGAAACGTCATACCATAACTGAATAATATCGTTCTTTTATTCAAGAAGAATTTGTTTGAACAGTATACCACAATCGCAACCTAGACTCGTACTGATCCTCCCAACCCACAACCGATTGATCTCGAAACTGGAACCACATGAAATGAATAGGCAGTAATGGACAATCATCAGTCAAATCTAAACGAATATAGTTTGCTACGGTACCAAGATGGCAATTGCCAATCTCACGACATGGTCCTCTAGCCGATGATCGTGCAGTGAGAGGCAACACTGTAGTGCTGAATAAGTCGTGCTACCTTCTGGACCAGAGATCAAATGAACGACAACCACATTAAATAGGGTCGCAACAGCATAGAGGTCTTGCGGAACTTTGAACCAGTGAGTCCGTCCACAAGGGCCGTTGCCCCACCTTACGCGACGGAGTCCGGCCTCGATATCGTCTCAGTCACAAGCATCTGAAAGAATGTCGCATCTGACCATGCAGCGTTGCTCGCCTGGCTCGGATGACCAGTCCCTACAAGTATACGATAAAAAAGTCAATGAATTAAAACAAATAATGTATTTTAATAGAAAATTATAAATAAAACATTAATCTTAAATTACCTGGCTCTAATATCTCGAGCGTTCTCCAGAACTGGTGAATCATTCCGAGATCAATCGGAACGTCGAAATCAACTGCGTTACGGAGGAGACAGGCACAAGGAAGTCTATGAGTGAGCTGCAATACACAACCGCAACTAGTGTAAGCATCGGTGTCCAACTTGTGCATCCTCGTAAGCTCAGCGTCCAATAAACTCAGACAGTAATGCGAGACCCTCAGTATCACGCTCGCGAAACGAATTCACTTATACCGTGTATTCTTCTTAGATCTCGAGGCCTCAAGCGCCGTCCTGATAATACGTTACATAACGTTAGATTATAATTAATTAATGCAGTAATATAATAACGCATTTAAAAATTGCAGTACGTACTTCATTTCAGTCACTTGATTATCGATATGCTTATTAATCTTCTGCCAAACCGTATCGAGCGCGCCGGTGGACGTCTGAATCCACTCGTTCAACGCAGAGTGGGCACTATTCACCCTACAGGAAGTTGTGTTTCCAAAATGTGTCACTCGGTTGGTCCAAGCCTTCACAAACTTTTCGCGGTGCACTAACCATGTGCCCTCCACATACCGTATCACCTCTGGAGAGTTCAAATATTTTGCGTGAAACTCGGCAACGGCATCGGTGTATGGATCGAACGTACTGGCCTCTGCAATCGCCTTCCACGTACTGTGCGTGAAAATCTCCGATAATTTTTTATTCTTCCCAAATAGTTGGTAGGTTTTGGTTTTCACATCCTTGTTGATGTGCCACGTGCAGAGTAAGTGGGCTGATTCAGGAAAATGTCTCTGAATAGGAGTGAGTAAACCCAACTCTCTGTCACTGACAACAATATAAGAATATACGCTTTGGCCTATCAGTAGTCTCAACTTCTCTAGAACCCAGTCGTAACTGGCCTCTTTCTCGTCCCTGATGAGGGCATACGCAATTAGAAAGTTCTGGTTGCAAATCATCAAGACCAACAGCATCTTATACCTGTGCAAATATGACCAAGAAGACAAAAAATATAAGCATATAATATTTAACTTAATCAAACACACTATTTAAGATTCATACTAATAAAGTATTTATAAAGTAACATACCTGTTGGTTTTATACGTGAAATCTATACCGACATACCAGTGATATGTCCGAAATAGATTGATCGACGCAGGATGGGCCATGAATATATGCGTCAACACTTTCGTGTTCGGATCGGATTCTGCATAAACTGTATACTCGCTGCTCACGGCCAAATGCATAAGCTGAGAAGAAACGTCTCTACCGTCGGAACTCTCTCTCCGCAGCTTATCTTTAAAGTTATATACCTGTCACCGATTACCGTTAATTATAATGATTATTATAATTTAAAACAAAAAATTTATCATATTAATAAATAAAAAAGTATATTAATGCGATTAATTTGATAAAAAAATTATTAAATATCACAATAATAATACATTAGTAAATATAATAAAATTTATTAATTATTACAATAACTTATACATATAAAAAATTACTAATTATCATAATTAACTTAAAAAAGTTAATTAAAACATATATTACAAGATATAAATATATATACCTGCCGCACATGAACGTTGTCTCCCGGATTCTTTTCCTTCAGCGCGGCCATAATTTTTTTCGGGACCAACTGAGCGTCCGTCATATCATGAACAATTTTCTTAGATGAAGCGCTGAGGCCGCTCAACTGGCTATGACACTCAGGATACACAGCAAATGTATGGTTATGGTAGCCTTTCTCTTCATTGCTACATCTACAGATCCTCCAGTATGGAGCGCCAGACACCTTTTTTACTTTGATCTCAAAATTGCAGCCGCACTTATTCGTTTTTGTCCTTCTAGAATTTCCGCCTGTGCCTCTGTACCGTTCGCCTCTATGGCACTTCAAAAGTCTGACCGTTTTCTTTTTGTGGCTCGAAATTATTAATAGGAAACCATTCAGCATTGTCTGGTGTTTTGTAGCTTCAATAGCCTCCTGAGCACTATTATATAATGTACATGTATCGAAACGCAGACTGTAATCAACACCCTCTCCTTCAAAATCTTCCCATGACTCCTGCTATATAGTACAATATTTATATTTTTAGAACATGTTAAATTAAGATAATTAATTCTACCATGTAACATAATAATTTGTAACTCGTAACATGATATTATCTAACGTTCAATTTATATAATTTGTAACTCCTAACACGATCACGATAATATCTAACGTCCAATTTATATTATAATAAACATGTAACACAATAATTTGTAACTCTTAACACGATACTATCTAACGTCAATTTATAACATAACTAAGGCTAATATGTAATATAATAATATTTTCTAACTCGTAACACGATAATATCTAACGTCCAATTTATATTATAATCAACATATAACATAATAATTTGTAACTCCTAACACAATAAACGTCCAATTTATAGCATAATCAAGTCTAAAATGTAACATAATAATATAGTCTAATTTATAACATAACTATTTCGAATAAATAACATAATAATTTAAAAAAAAAAAAAAACGTCCGAAAAAAAAAAAAAAAAAATTACGTACGGCCGGCCGAACCGGACGGACCGGTTCCGACCGGCCGTCGTTTTCGGACGGCTTTTTAGCCGTCCGGCCGGCCGGTTCGGACATGGCCGGTCCGACCGGCCGTACTTTCCGGATAGTTTTTAGGCCGGCCGGTCCGCTTCAAAACTGTCCGGTTCCGGCGGCCGGACGGGCTAAAAGCCATCCGATTCCGGCGGCTGGACACCAAATTTTTCGTACCTCCGAATTTGACGACATTTCACCGTACACTTTCCTCTGAGATGTTTAAAAAAAATGGAAAGGGCAAAATTGTCCAAGGAGGGCGGTGACTAGTAAAATGGGGGGCGGTGAATAGTAACACCCTATTTTTATTTTAACTTGCTTGTTTATTTCAGTTCTCAAAGCTAAACCAGCTTCCTTAGCTTGAGACATGCTCGCATGGTGTTCGATATGGTTTCTGTTTGATAGCCTGAAGTTTCAAACAGAAAATTAAACCAACGAGTGAACTTTGACAATTATTTAGAAATATTTGAATAAACAATCATTCAAATACGAACAAATCCATTTAAAATATATAAATAAGTTATTGAATATGGATATACATACACTATGGGTTACGTAAGTCAATTATCGAGCAATGTGCAAATTATAAATTGTTGAAAAAATTATAAAACTATAACAATCGACAAATTTATATGTACATGTAATACATTTATAATATTTTATAAACTTATAAATAATAAAATTTATATATTAAATAGTCAATACCTACAAAAAAAAAAAATAACAATAATAGTAAATAAATAAATAAATTTTATATTATAAAAAATCTACTAAATTTCAACAGGAAAGTTGTACATATTCTATCATGTGTGGAAAATCTACTAAAACATTACCGCTAAAACATGGCCGAATTCTGTTGTCCTAGAACTGGGCTTCCTTGATGAGAATAGCTTGATCGTCATATACAGATGCAATATACAAGCCATGCTTGGCCCATCTAACACAATTAACGGAGCCGAAATGGTCACGCAGAGTTGCAAGGAGTTTGGATGACGAGTGCTCGATTTTGAAGTCCCCTGCCAACAGATTTCATGTTGCAAATGCAAACCTAAACATATAACAGAAAAACTGCTCAATTTAACAAAATAATAACATGTACCAACATAAACACAGACAAGACATAAAACACGAACCAATGAAAATGAAACTTCACACATCGAATGGTTATATATATGTTGGAAAACAATATTAAGCCATATGGCCAGTCTCAAACCAAACCAAGCAAATGTAATATTATATTCCAACATATAACCATATGGCCAGTCTTAAACCAAACCAAACAAATGTATGTAATATTATATATTACTCAACATTCATTGAATTCTTCTTGTCTTCATTTGCAACTCCCCAAGATATGTAAAGGATACTCAATGCTTATAAATCACAGCACATTGCCGATTTTCGAAATTTTGTAGTCTAATGAAGTGGTGCTTTACTGCTTATCACAACGGCCACAAAGATACAAGCCAAAAGGTAGAATTTGTTCTCCTCAAGTTACAGCTTAATGAAGTGTGATTTTTGATAATGCAATACTTGTTCTTTATCCTTTCACAGAATTCATTAGCCAGAAAGAATATAACAATTGAAACCAAACACTGAAAAGAAATGAACAATAATAATAGATTAAAACCAAGAAGAAGGAAATCACCACCACCAGTAGCAAACCTGAGGCCGCCAGGCTGAATATCATTTGATAAAATATGTGTGTCGCAATGCCTAATCCAACTAGGTTTCTCTGCTATCATCTCTCACTGCTTGAAGAAAATCAACAAGTCCCAAGTGATTTTTGAAAAACCAATAGAGAAAAAATAAAACTATTTTCACTTACTCGTCACTTTAAACACAGAAGACCCATATCCCCAGTTCTCTCCAAGTTCATGCTTTTAAACCCCCCAAAAGACATTAACAGAACAACAAAAGGCACACACGCGAGAACCCACAAAAGCCCTAATGGGAAGCTGAGAACACACTCAAACCCAGAAAACTTGAACACACAAGAAACTAGAAGACGGTAGGGGAAATCCGCAATTGGGCAATTGATAACACACAAACGCAGATTGCTATTTCAGTTTTAAAACATGCAAACAAAAAATAAAGCATAGCTGATTTATCCCACACATCACGTTACTCAAACGCATTCAGGCAAAAAGATAAGAAAAATCCCCCAAAGTAACAACAAAATAAACGAAAAAACGAAAATAAAGAAAAAAAATACCTGTTGCTTGGTAGCTGAAGGAGCGTTGAGTTGAAGGGATAGACCATTGTTGGAGGCGAGCGGGTGAGCGTGGAGGTCAGGGAGGCGCTGGGAGATGTCGGGCGGGGGCAATCTCAGCAGTAGATCTTGAATCAAACGGTAAGAGAAGCTAATTTGTGATCGAGCTCTTGGGCGTGGGCGAGTTGCTCGGGAGTGGAGATGAAAGGGATTGAATTTGAGTCGTTCTTGTCGTCGCTCCGCCTGCTACTGCCGCCTCAGACGACGTCCGCCGCCCACGCTAGTAGAGGCCATTTTAGAAGCTCTGACTTGGATTTTCCCCCAAAAATTTTCAGACTTCAGTTTGTTTTCCGTACAATAGTAACTTGGGTCATTACTGAGAAGAAAGAGGTTTGCCGGAGGAAGGAGGAAGAAGGTTTCCGTACAATAGTAACTTGGGTCATTACTCACGGTCATTACTTTTTTGTTTTGATACCCCTAATTTCAACTTAATCATTTTCAGTCACTCAAGTATTCAAAATCCATTATTATTGCCCAAATCGTCAGTTGACCGTGAGTCAACTGACCATCACCTTCTCTAGCCGGTTGCTTTCTCCAAAGAAACCTAAGAAATCGATTTCCCCTAATTTCTCCAATCGAGCAGACCTAATTGAAATGAAAAAAACCATTACATAACGATACTTCAAACTACACCAACCATAAGTATCTAAATCTAGTTAAAACAGAATTTGATAAGGTACAACAATGAGAGAAGAATTATAGAAGGTCATAATATTTTGATCTTATTCACACAACCAATGAATTGTTCATGTCATCCACCTTGTTCATTGCCACGAGCTTCCATTTCAGCATTCTTCAACTTGTATTGCTCAATTTGATATTGATGTTTATTTGATTTTTCCAGCAAACCAGGTATAATATTCTTTGCTCTTTCGCAAATTTCCGGATCAAACCATATAAAAATTCCTCAAAAACCAAAGTTCTGCATTTTTTTTTTTACAAATGCTTGTTATATTTACATTAGGCAAATTAAAAACAAAAATTAAAACAAAAACAAAAACAAAATAATTAGTTACCCCATATTTAGGGCATGCTCAATATCTTCTTCCCTGATTATTTCGGGTTCAAGAGGTCTTCAAGTACACTTTTTCTCCACAATTGCATGTCATCTCCCTTGGAACACCATTAATCTCGGAGTTCCAGCGAGAGTTCCAGCTTCCTCTTGAACTGCTCATGGTGCAAAATTGCAAATATTTCAAATTCCTTTTTTTTTTCCCTCACTTTCGGCGGCTTTGTGGTGCTGTAATGGAGATGCCCGCCATTTCTATCGCTTGCAGAAGGAGACGACCTGCTAGAGAAGGTGGCCGTCAGTTGACTCACAGTCAACTGACGATTTGGGCAATAATGATGGATTTTGAATACTTGAGTGACTGAAATGATTAAATTGAAACCAAGAGTATCAAAACCGAAAAGTATGTATACTTAGGGTACCAAAAGTGAAATTTTCCCGAACAAAATCTATTAATCGTGAATGTGAGATATGTAAATCTGTGATGATATTTTTTTATATTTGCAGGACTAGTCCCTGTCGCCAATGACCTTTGATCAAAGACGTCAGCCTGAATTAAATAAATACAAGGACTTGAAACTAAATCAAATATTATTTTATAATTAATTAAATACATTTTAAATTTTAAATAATAGTAAGGGTAAAATAGTTTTTTAGCATGTACAAACGTGTACAAACGTACAAACCCATGTACAAAGCATCCATCATTTCTTTTTTGCTTTGTACATGTTTGTACATTAAATCAATGGTTCATATTCAATGTTGAGTCAATCTAATGGTGAAATAAGAGGCTATCTGATGTTAGGTAGGTACAAAGGGTACCTGACCCTAGTCTGTCCCTAGAGAGATATGAGGGCTAGGTTTCAGAAACTTAGATTCTTTTAATGAAGCCGTTATATCTAAACAGTTATTGAGAATCCTTACCAACCCAAATCTTCTTGTGACTAAAATTCTCAAAGGCAGATACTTCCATAACTCCAATTTCCTTGAGGTTAGAAAAGAAGTACTGACTCTTGGCTTTGGAAGAGTTGGGGTACAAGTAGGTGATGGGTCTTCAGTGTCAATCTAGAACTCCCCTTGGGTTCCCAGAATACGAGATTTTACCCCTAAGTGCTTATTTGAGAGGGACAGAACTAGGTTGTCCAGAGTGAGTGAGCTTATTTCAGTGGATGGTAAGGGCTGGGATGCAGAGTTAGTAAACCAAACATTTGACCCTTTTACAGCTTCTGAAATTCTTAAAATTCATCTTAGCCATTTCAGGAAAACAGACAGATTTGTGTGGGCCTTTGATAAAAGAGGGATTTTCTCTGTTAAGTCAGCTTATGCCCATTTTCTAACACATTTTGGCGAAGGACAATTCGCAGGCCTCAACTAGTACTATAGACATGAGTATTAGGAGAATGTGGAAAGTGACATGGTAGCTGCCCTTGCAACCAAAAGTTAAAACTTTCATGTGGAGGCTTCTGAAAGGTTTTCTTAACACCAAAGACAACCTAAAGAGCAAAAGTATTTCTGTTGACCCTATCTGCTTGTTGTGTGGTGAGGCTTCTGAGAGCATTATACATTTATTCTGCCAATGTCATAAGAGTGTTCTATGCTGGAAACTGATGGGGATTGAGTGGGAGGACTTCAAGGATGAAAATTTCAGACTAGTTGAGTGGTGGGAAAAGGTGTGTAATGGCAAAAAGTTGTCCAGGTTTAAAGAGAGATTATCTCTGTTAGTATGTCTGTTCTAGAATTTGTGGAAGGCTAGAAACAACTTGGTGTTTAGAGGGGAATCATTCATAGAACAAGAAGTTGTGGTAGAAGCTAAGAGAGATTGGTTAGAGTCATTTGAGATGGTTAGTTTAGGATAGGTTGAGGAAATTGTGCAGAACTCCACTTCTGGTATTGCTGATGAAGAATTTTCTAAGATGGTAAGGCTTGTTGATATTCAAGTCAATGTCATAACTTCCTCAGAAGGCAAAACAGGAGCATGACTTGTGGCAAAACTTCAGGAAAATGTGATCATGGAAGCAAGAGAAAGCTGGAGTTGGGCTAGCAACATGTGGGAGGCTAATCCGTTAGCTGTGAGATGGGCTCTTGGTATTGCAAAGACAAATGGTTGGTCCACAGTGAGATGTTCCATAGGTTCAGTGAAGCTTGTTGATGCTTTGAATTCTGGCTTTACTTCTTCTGATGTGACCCTATCAAATGCACTATTGGTTGAAGACATTTTCATGCTTATTCATTGTTGCTCTTCTTGTATTTTTAGTAGTTTTGCTTGCTTTGATGATTGTATTAGGTTGGCTAGATTGGCCTTGGAGGGGACATAGTTCGTGTTAGTCCCTGGTTATTTCCTCTCTATGTTGTAATAGAGTAGGTGATTTGTGTTTAGTTGAACAGCCCTTGTACTTACTTGAGTTATCGTTTG